TGAAACTCACAGAAGCGAGGCAAGCTGAGCGTGAAATTATTCACATGGTTCAGAAGACGGTATACCCAGAAACCATGCTGAAATTAGAACGCGCCGGTAGGGTTGACGAACAAAGTGTACACAACCACAAACTAATACGCTTATGCCCGATATTGATAGATTGCTATATGAAGGAGGTAGGTTGGATAACTTTTTGTGGCCGCATGTTGTTAAACATCCTATCATACTACCCCCGAAACATAACGTCACCAGGTAGATAGTTTGGAAAGCTCACGTGCTGAATGGGCACTGTGGACTATCGCATACGTTAGCCGAACTGCGCCAAAGATATTGGGTCGGTCTGGGGTATCGATGACTAACCGGGTGCTTCATAGTTGCTGGAGGTGTCGAAGGAAACTTACAACGGCTTCACGACTAGCTGTGGCGCCGCTGCCGGTCGACAGGATCCAGCCGGGCTGGCATCCCTTCAAGATAGTTGGGTGTGACTATTTTGACAGTAAAGAATGGAAGAAAAACTGAATAAAGGTATCACTGTTTGTTTACCTGCCCGCAGATGAGGGCAGTGCACCTTGAATTGGCCTATTCATCATCGCCTGACTCCCTGACCAAGACGCTGATGCGTTTTATAGCACGAAGAGGGGCCCCAGAAAAGATTATCAGTGATAACGGTTCTAATTTCGTCGGGGCGGAGATGGAACTGAAACGAGCCATAGACCGACCTTCACATTCCCGCATCAGGGCTGAACTACTGCGGTATAACGTCCAGTGGCAGTTCACTCCACCGTTGAGCAGCCATAGAAGCGGAAGATGGGAGCGTCGCATACGTTCCGTAAGACGGATACTAAGGTCGACAGTAAATGAGCAGAATGTGAACGACGGAGAACTATTAACGTTTCTCACGGAAGCAGAGCGGGTAATGAATAGACGCCCTATTGTGCTTAATTTCGACAAGCCGACGTTGACACCGAATTACTTGCTCATTCTGAAGAACAGGGTACACGGAATTGTGCCGGAAAGTATAACAGA